TCGATCAAAAATGGCCGGAACGAAGTATGATTCAGAATCCATGTTTGGCACGTGGGCAATGTCATGATGTGCTTGCGTTCTACTCTTCCGGGAAATGGGGAAATCCCGGCCAACAATACCAAGCAAAGAGTCGTGGTAACCTCGTGGAGGCTGAGTCAATGATCATAGCGCCAGTCTTGCTGGCCTGGCCCCTGGGGGCAACGTGCTGGACCTGCCATGTTAGCGTCCCTTACTGAGGAGTTTTCGGGTCAGTCAGCAAACACAGGGGTTGCTCGTAAGGATTTCAAAAAGCATGGTGATCTTATAATACATACCCTAGTTACCTTGGAGGAGTTCACTGAATTAATGGACGACATTCAAATATCCACCTCTAGGCCTGCACCGAATGTTGAGAAGTAGCGATATGTAGAATCATCGATCATCGATACCCTTTCTCTTGACTCAGAGACGATTACTTTCGTTTTATTCTTTCGCACTCGGTTCTCCCATTTGTGGCAACCAACAGGTTCTGTCATGTGGCCTTCCTGTCCTGTGAGTTCATCCATCCTGTTGACCATGTTGATCCTGTGCATGATGTGACGTACGATGGAGATCTATGTCAAGCCCAGTCTTCATGAACTCTTGCACCTTGGCCTTTACTTCAAGTGATAGAGGTTATCCAGTGGCAGGAAATCGCTTCCTCTCCGTTGTAACCGCTTGCATCGAGTGCCTGTCACAAAAGCTGACCCCAAAGTCGAGGTTCTTCTGCCCGCATTCGAAGAAAAAGGCTCCGGCATATACGGGCTTGGTCGCCAGCCAGAATCGGTGATGATCAGCGGCAGGTTCCCAGTCTATAATTCCAGTAACGACGTTGCCATCGCTGGTGTCATGATGTTTAGTGGTCCAAGATCCGCATGATTGAACTGAAATGGTCGGTCAATGTCCGGAGGATGATGAGCTGAGATAGTTGCCAAGTAGGTCCGTATGGCCTTCATTGTGAAGAACCAAGTATTATCGGTAGCCAAAATGGATGAGACGGATCAGCACTATCCATCAACATCGATTCATAAGCACCATATCCAGTAATTTTTGCAAGAGAATGGTAACATCGACAGCCAGTCAAACACAGACCCGGGTACTATCAACTGCAATTTGTACGCGTTGGGGTGGTCGTAGTTGAGGCCATGCCTGTTCCAGTGTTTGTTCTCTGACTCGCTTTGTTATCGGGAAGGTTATGTTGACCGGGTTGTCGATCCACGTGTGTATGATCTCCGGACCATGTGGTCCCGGGGCTCTTTCCTTCATGAATCAAAATGGTTAGCTTCAAGCTCTGTTCCTTCGCACTATGCGTGGAATTTGCAGAATTATTCTCCCGAGCCGCCAAACAACAGCATGAGCTCTTCTGCTATGTATTCTATCGATCTCGGTATCGCCCATTGACCAATCGCTGGTGTGCTTTTTCCAGAGGCCAGAAGTGTCTTCACCGTCCTGCCAGTCAGCTATTGCACTCTCTCTCCTGAGCTCTGAGCTTCTGAGGTTTTCGCAGATCATCGAGGAACCTAATTTTCATGCATAGAAGTCTGATTCGAGTAATTGAACCCTCTATGGGAGGCTGCCTTTCGCTGTTACAAAGTAAATTATATTGCAGGACGGTCGACGAGGTTCGGACAAACAAGAAAATTGATGCGCATTTCGAGTCACTGGTGTTCGGAGGATTTGTATTGAATCTACATACTTCAGATTCGTAGGTCACTGGTTCCCTCGAACAACGGCGAGAAAGAAGTCATTGTTGTGGGCGGGGTTTCGCTATTTGCGGGCGTGCTCGAGCATTGATCTGAGAAATTTCATTGTCACGACTCAGAACACTGTATTTCGGGGATTGAATTCATGCTGCAATTTTGTACCATTTTTGGATTCGTTGATCGTATGCTCGAAATCCATGGACGGGAAGATGGCGTGATGACATGTTTGGTAGCGGCAGAACAAGTTTCAGTAATTATGAGCTTAAGTAAACCCCATGGAGAAGGCTCCCATCTCTGCATTCAGCTCCAGAGCACCCGCTGACGGCTCTGAGACAGCCGTCATTGTACCACATGCAACGTGACTCCTCACTCTCACCAGTGCTCCTCGCCAATGGACACCGAGTTGACGTCGACGCCTTCCTTGAACCACCTTGCGTCCTCGTTAATTCTGACATCGTTGCCGCTCATTTGCCGCTTCCGCATCAGACCATTGTCGGCAAAGGTCCAGTCCTCGAGTCCGTAGGTACGCCACCACTGGCCGCTCTCATCGTGCCATTCGTACCAAAATTGTACGGCAATCTAGCGGTCCTCAGGCATTAGTCCAGTTTGCAAGTCGCCGAGATGATAGGCTGCCTCTACCCTGTTGTCAGAAAAGGCAAACAGCTCTTTGCGCAGTCTATAGCCATCTTCGCGCGACCACTTCTCGCTCAGGAACTGTACAATCTCGTCGCGGCCGCGAAGGAAGACGTCCCTGTTCCGCCAGACTGAGTCAGGTGTGTATGCCATCTTGACTGTCTCAGGGTCCCTAAGGCAAGGTATCAGTCATGTCTTGGATTGTGTCGAGTAACACTAAGTAGAGGTGGATGGTCTGACTTCGTATTCCATGCATCCTGCGCAGCCTTGACTTTGATTCGCGCCGTTTCGGCGGTGAAGGGAGGGCATGGCGGTTTTGTTTCGGTAGACATTCTGGAACGTTGTCGTTTTGTGGTATGTCACGTATGAAATGCGAAAAGTCCCAGTCATTTGTACTTGCGTAAAAAAGAGGAGAACGAGTTGTGACAGAGTGATGCAACATCGGGCTCCCGCATGTTCTCAGTCAGCAACGGTGTCGTAGTAAGGGCGTCAAATCCCGCGGGTGACTCAACATGAATGTTAGCAACAACAAACAACAATGGTCAAATCCCGAAAGGATTCAAACTCCAGCCTGGTTCATCTCGATATGACCATCTGACAACGATCCCTATCTCTGCGTCGGCGTCATGCTTCCCACCGTGGCCGCCTCGGCTCGGAGCAGCGAGGGGCTCCTCGGTCACCTCCGTCCTCCGGCCATCGGAGGTACGGCGGGCGCCTCACCATTTCACACCGTAATATCGCCATCGATGCGGGGCCCGGCATTCGTCGAGACGTGAAGGGTTCTGCCGGATGATCCAGCGCCGAATGGCCTGACGTGCCTGTTGGGCCCTGCGTCCTGGTCTTTGACTGAACTAATTCCAAATACCGCCGATCTAGCCTGCAGCTGCTCGACTTATTTTGGCTGTCCGGCGGCGTCTGGGGACAGGCCCCCGTACTCGCCAGAGTCGCTCTCCACTTACCGCGGAAGCTCGTAGAACCCTTGCGGCCAGCTCGGCATACTCCTGCCTCAATTGACTCGTTGGGCTCGGGGCAGGATCTCGATTGAGCACTCGTTCACCATAAAACACCACGACTCATCCTCCACGAGACTTCATCAGTCTGTCCGCCTCTCGCCTCATACATCTACCAGCAAACCCAACCCAAAAAAACAATAATCACCAGGCTTTTCTACCACACAATCTTCAGCATGTCTCTCAAGGTCGGCGACTCGTTCCCTGAGGGAGTTGTCTTCTCCTACGTCCCTGTCCAGCCTGAGACGTCCGAGTTCACCGCCTGCGGTATTCCCGTCAACTACGACGCCAGCAAGGGTGAGAGAGCCCCTCCTGTGCGACCCCGCACGCAGCCCCTCAATGCGTACTGAGACGCTCCCATCTAACACGAAGCAGAATTCGCCAACAAGAAGGTAGTCCTCGTCGCCGTCCCCGGCGCCTTCACCCCGACCTGCTCCGTCGCCCACGTCCCCTCGTACCTCGCCAACCTCGACGCCCTCAAGGCCAAGGGCGTCGACCAGGTTTGTCTTCATCGCCTACAACGACGCATTTGTCATGAGCGCCTGGGGCAAGGCCAACGGCGTCAAGGACGAGTTCATCCTCTTCGCCTCGGACGCCGGCGCTGCCTTCTCCCAGAGCATCGGCTGGACGCTGGGCGAGCGCACGGCGCGCTACGCTCTCGTTGTTGACCACGGCAAGGTCACGTACTCTGAGCTGGAGACGGAGAAGGGCAGCATTGCGCTGACGGGCGCCGAGGGCGTCTTGTCAAAGCTCTGAGAGGTTTGATGATGATTACGAAGTAACGGTATACAAGATAGACAGACAGACAGACATAGATCATTGATGGTTGACTGTTCGAACTGCCACCTGCTTGTCCCAATGCGGTCAATTCGCAATTGTTCTTGCTCGCTGAGCGACGCGAGTAAGGCTCGAAACACTTTGACAAATTTCTTTTTCGTGGAGCATACGTCGCTCAAACGCGCAGCTCTGGACATGGGATTGCACTGTCCGGCCAGATTCACTCACGTCAGTCAGTGAGGTGTCTTTGATTTATCCCGTGGGACTTTCATGCAATTCCGTGCTACCGAGATGTGTGTAGAGAACCAGCCGTGTAAGACACAAAGAACCTCGACTCCTGCCTTTCGTCAAGTTCCATCCGGGGGGTGGGCTTGGGGGATTGAATCCTCTGCCCGTTTTTCATCTGTCCACGGCGCCCGTCCCAGCCCCTCCTCCGCCCGGAATTACCATTCCAGCTTCCACAATCCGCGACTCAAAACCCTACTCCGAAAAAGCATTTAGCGGGTGTTGGCCTGGACCTTGGCCTGCGCGCCCTTGGAGCCCTGCTTGCTCGAGATGCGGCTGGTCTGGCCCTTGGAGGCGAGGCCGGCGTTCTTGGCCTTGTCGGCCTTCTTCGCCGCGGCGTCGGCCTGCTTCTTCTCCTTGCTCTCCTTGATGGCCGCCGCGCGGGCGGCGGAGCGAGCCTCGGGACGCTGGCTGCGCTTCTCCTTGATCACATCGAGGGAGGCACCGACGATGGCACGCTGGGCCTTGACGGTGCGGCGGGTGCGCTTCTTGGCAACTTCCTGTGGCGGAGGGGTCAGTAGGCTGATCGGAGGCGTGGTGCTTGCGGCCGGCAAGCGGTGCTGCTGCCTTTGGCTGGCAGGGCGGGACAACGTACCTCAGAGATGCCCTTGCGGTGCTGGCGACGGTAGAGGACGGTCCAGGCAATGCGGCGGGGGTTCTTGCGCTGGAGGAACAGCGACTCGGACTTGCTGTTCTGGAAACGGAAAGTCTTGGAGTCACCGCGGACGTAGAGCTTACCCTACAAGTTCACAGCCTGGTTAGTCCTGGATCTCTCAAAGAGTATGAAGCAATCGTGATCCCCCTTCCCCATCAGACCCCTCCGCAATATCTTGTCTCCCACATCTGGGCAGCCCTAGGCTTGAACAGGCCCTCGTCCATCTCGCATTGGGGTCGTTTGGGAAGCAGGCAAGGAAGGAGTCTCGCGTGTCGTACCTTTCCAGGGTAGATTCTCTGGCCCGAGAAGGAGTCGTCGTACGTGCGCATCTTGAAAGATTGAATGTCAGCTCGATAATTCGGAGTGGCGATGGGCAATTTCGGTCGCTGTTTTTCGGGTGCAGTCCGCGGCTTCGGCCAGCTGGTTTGCACACCAGGAAAACTGTGGAAGACTGCTGGGCGTTGTAACGGGTAACACGTACTTTGGCGGTATTTGATGCGAACGCTTGACTTGCTTGTCTGTGAGGGTAAGTACGATCAGGTGCAATTTTTCGACAGGTGAGTCGTGCGTCGAATAGCCCTGGCCCCACCGAGCCATCGCTTCCATGTTCGCTCAGGTCACATGACCATAGAGCTGGGTCGTGGCTCGGTGGGGCTTTTTGAACCAGTGTGGCTTGGTTTCACTCGCCCACCACCTGGTCACACCCCGCCCAACTTGGCCTCCTGCTGGGGCATTTCGTCACTCTACCTTTGTTAGGTCAACCCCGGCGGACAAATGACAGTCGTCAATCCCGACCTCATCGCAGATGCTGTGTTCGAGAAGTTCTGCCAGCTTCCCGCAAGACGCAAGCCCCAAGTGAGGAACAACGGGGTTCATGAATGGGTGCCTCTGAGTGGCATCGTCGCCGCTCAGAATGGAAAACTAACATGTTTGGCCGTAGCGTGAGTTCGACCCCGTCGTCATTGAATGTATCTCATCAGCATCTCGTAGATCGACACTCGCTGGCGGGACATTTCTCACAGGGTACACGATAATATCTCCGGAGCAGCAGTGCCTCAATGGAGTTGTCAGAATGCCTTCACATGCAATGAAAAGCCCACGAGTGTCATTTCCTCCATGTGCTGATGATGATTTCTGCAGTACAGGTATGAAGTGTCTACCGGCTTCTAAAATTCCGCAGGCAAACGGCATTGGACTGCATGACTGGCACGCTGAGATTCTGGTCTTGCGAGCCTTCAATCGTTTTCTCCTATCGGCGTGTCATCAAATGTTGCTCAACAAATCCAGTGAGCTGGGGATCCTGCGCTACCGCACTGATGACCAACGGGGGCTGTACAACCCCCAAGGCGCCCAGGACTGGGAAGGGCAGCCTTTTGCAATTGCGGACGGCGTTCGTCTCTACATGTACTGTTCGGAGGCCCCCTGTGGCGACGCGAGCATGGAGCTTACCATGGCGGCGCAAGAGGACGCGTCGCCATGGGATGCGCCAGTGACAGCTGGAGAAGATGCGACAACCACATCGGCTGATTCTTCCTTGCCCGGGCGCGGCTTCTTCTCTCAGCTAGGCATTGTGCGTCGCAAACCCGCAAGGGCAGATGCACCGCCCACTCTATCCAAGTCTTGTTCCGATAAGATGGCGTTACGGCAGTGCACCTCGATCCTGTCATCTTTAACAGCACTTTTCATCCATCCAGGGAACGCATACATTGATGTCGTTGTCTTGCCCCAGTCGCAGTATTCCGTCACAGGATGCAAGCGTAGCTTTTCGTCGGAGGGACGAATGTCTGCTTTGAAGGACAAGACATGGGCGGGCGGGTATGCATTCCACCCGTTCCAAGTCGAGACCACAGCACGCGAGTTCGAAAACTCCAAAAGAGCTGTGGAAGCCAAGTCGGGGACGGTTGGTGCGAGCAACCTGGCAGCAGCGTGGAACGCCAATGGGCTGGATGAGGGGCTCATCGGGGGTGTTTTGCAAGGAAGACGGGCGTTTGACATCAAAGGTGCCAGCTCTACCTCTCGGAGGCAGATGTGGACGCTGGCTCGTGAAACTGCGTCGTTGCTACACTTGACTGAGCGTGACGTGCGAGCCTCCCTCTCGGCAGCAACATACGCAGATGTCAAGGCTGGAGAGCTCTCACTTCCCCGTCGTACCGTCGTTGGCCAGGTCAGAAGCGAGTCCCTGACCGGATGGACAGAAAACACAGGCGATGATAGCTTTGCCCTAGATAGCCGGTAGGAA